AAAACAATTCGTTATTCGTTTTTATATAAATTGTTTGTAATTAAAAATTCGAGTATTAAATTATAACGTAAATTAACGTTCGAAAGTTTTGAGGTTAGGAATGATACGTGAAAATGAATTGAAATTGTTTTCAGCTTTGTGATTGGTTTTACCCCCTCTCTTCAACACGCTGAGCTTTCGAAAGCTCAAAATTTATCGACCAATCGTCGTTTATTTTTACAAGCGAAACATTTTTTTCTCATCCCCAAACATCTCCTAATCGACGTATTATTTTTTTCTTCGAAATAATTCTTTTTATAAAATGCATACGAGAGAGTGAAGATAAATGTACGATTAAATTCTACGCGTAATGTTAAAAGAAACAAGCAAGCAAGCAAGCAAGCAAGAAAGTAAATATCTCTGTTTCCGGTATAAATACCGTTCTGTTTAAAAATCTACGATGTACGAAAATAGAAAGAGAGAGAGAGAGAGAGAAAGTGAGTAAAATCCAACGCAATAATTTTCTGGCAATGTAATTTCGTCGCGAAGTAAAACGAGCTTTACGATTTCGTTAAAATAAGTACACTACTTGATGTGTTTCCTTAACCGACGTTTAAACGCATTCATTTTCTAACTTGATTGTACATTTTTTGTTATTTTCTTTTCAACAAGATTTATATTTTACATGGTTAAAAAAGAAAATAATTCATTAATAATTTATTAACACAAATCTCGAAACGATTAAACTTTGCTTTTAGAATTGTTCTTATCGTTGCTTTTGTTGTTCGTTTAAATATTAATATAGTAGTGAAGTACATGATTTATGATTACAATTTTATAAATTGTTATTAATAAATGTTTGTGGTATCAAATTTGTACGATAGTAGTATAACAAATGATACGATAATACATATGTGTGTGTGTGTGTGTGTTTGATTTGATAATTTTATCAATTTATCCTGCTATTATTTTTGAAAAAATGTACAATTATTCAATTATTCTTATTTCTATTAAGTAATATTAATAAACAAGCAAACAAAAATTAAATAAATTATTTTATAAAAATAATAAAATTATTATAATATAATATTTTTCAGCTTTGTGATTGGTTATTCCCCTTCCCTTTACAAACATCCAGACGTTTATTTTTCATTNCAAGCAAACAAAAATTAAATAAATTATTTTATAAAAATAATAAAATTATTATAATATAATATTTTTCAGCTTTGTGATTGGTTGTTGTATTCTTATTTCTATTAAGTAATATTAATAAACAAACGAACAAAAATTAAATAAATTATTTTATAAAAATAATAAAATTATTTTAATATAATATTTTTCAGCTTTGTGATTGGTTATTCCCCTTCCCTTTACAAACATCCAGACGTTTATTTTTCATTGCTCAAATTTTCATTTGAAATTTAACAAATATATATAAACAATAAAAATATTATATAAATACATAAATCCACACACACATGTGAAAAAAATAATATTACAAAAAATCGATCAGGAAAGAAAAAGATTGAACGAGTCTGAAAACAAAACAAGAAAAAAAAAACATACGAAAAAATTATTTTCAATCCTCACACAAAGAGGTACGAAAAAAAACATAGGTGTATGAATAAACGTGTGGTTAGAATAAGTGAGAAGAAGAGGGGAGGAGGGATGACTTAGGAGTGTGCAAAGAGGAGGAGAAGGAGGTGGTGCTGGCGGTAGGGGGGCAGGGGAGGTTTAGTATTTTCCACGACAAATGTGACCTTGACCTATCCCACGTATAAAATGTCGTAAAATAAAATCGTGATAAGAGGTACGCATAATGTTTCCGAGTGAAATGAAATAAAATCGTGCGTTAGCGAAAAACAAAGTTGAAAGTAACTTTTATAATATACATCTACTATTACTACTATTACTACTATTACACCATTCTCGCGTCGTTACTTTTTAATTTGTTTTTCTCTTTTTTATATTTTTTTACCCTTTACATTTCTTGTTTTTCCTTATATTTACGAAGTGAACGAAGGACCGACCTTTCGATATTTCGTTCGTCGATTTCTAAACGATCGAGATGCAATCTTACCTTTCAAAAGGTAGCAGTAGTAAAATTTATTCCGTGTTGCAATACTTGGCACAATTACATCGATTGGATTTGGCATCGTTTAACTTTACGTCGATCATATTATTATACGTCTATTCCGATGATTATATTATTTTAATCTTTAACATTTTCAATCATATGATTGATATTAATCTTTTCGAAGTTATACTTCTGTTCGCGCGTTTTGAAAAGTGAAGTTAGATGCGATCGAAAAATCAACACCACGAAGTTGTCGATATTTACGATGCGCGCGCAGATTGAAGTTATTTTTGAGGTTATGGAAGTTATTTCGTTTCTTACGTGCGTACGTACATAAGTATATACATCAATTTTTGTTTTTTTTTCTTCCTTGTTCGCGTAAAAATAATACGTTTAGCGTTAGATATTTGTTTTTGTATTTCAATAATATATTTATATGTAAATGTTTTCGAATGATTAATAGAAAAAATAATTTAAAATATTCCGATATAAATTATGAATAAAATAACGAAGTGTTTTATTTGTTTTTCTTCTTTAATAATATTATTGAAATAAAAATATGCAATGTTATAAGATTTATTTAAAAGTAACAAATTGATGTAGAACAAAAATCACTTTTATTTTCTTTTTTTTAAATATCCTGACGAAATAAATCGTTATTTGGTTTGAATGAAAATAGAAAAAGAAAAAATATAAAATCGAATCTATAAAAGAACACGTTTATACTGGTATATCTGTATTTGGATTTTGTACGTTCCATATAAAATAAAACTATTTTGAAATCTTACCTACTTACTTACTTATTTACTTACTTAGTTTGACGTTTGAACGAATAAGAGCGGAACACGTCAAAGTATTAAAGCCAACAAAACTAATATGTATTTATAAATCATTATCTCGCAACTCTGTTGTGTAACGCAGTTGGAAGTATGTTCTTACCACTCTTGTCCTACATAGTCAACAAGCACGATATATAATACACGTAGATCATTTTAAACGATCCTAAATGCAATTAACGAATCTCCTATTAAATCCCAATAATCAATAATAAAAATGATCAGTTATAAAAAATGTAATATAAGTTTATAATAATTTCTGATATTTATGTAGCAAAACAAGTGACTGATTCTACATTCACAAAATTCAATAATAAAAAATGATCAGGATAATGAAGAAATATATATTATAATTTAATAATACTTTCTGATATTTATGTAGCAAAATAAGTGACTGATTCTACATTCACAAAATTTAATAATAAAAAATGATCAGATTCAAAATGTATTATATATTACAAGTTAATAATACTTCCTGATATTTATGTAGCAAAACAAGTGACTGATTCTACATTCACAAAATTCAATAATAAAAATTGATCAGGATAATAAAGTAATATATATATACAAGCTAATAATACTTCCTGATATTTTCAATGTATTAAATGAAAATAAGTAAGTGACTGATTCTACATTCACAAAATTTAATAATAAAAATTGACCAGCTTCAAAAAGTAACATATATTACAAGCTAATAATACTTTCTGATATTTATGTAGCAAAAAAGATGACTGATTCTACATTTACAAAATTCAATAATAAAAATTGGTCAGCTTCAAAAACTAATATATATTATAAACTAATAATACTTCCTAACATTAAACCGTACAAAATAAAAATAAATATCATTGACAAATCAACCAATAACGTGTTCCATATTCATTGTAAAAATATACAACCAAAAAGTAATAATAATTATTCTATCTTACGTTATACACAATGAGTTAATTGAAAATAAGTAAATGACTGATTCTACATTTACAAAATTCAATGATAAAAATTGGTCAGGATAATAAAGTAATATATATATATACAAGTTAATAATACTTCTTGATATTTTCAATGTGTTAAGTGAAAATAATAAGTGACTAATTCTACATTTACAAAGTTTAATAATAAAAATTGATCAGGATAATAAAGTAATATATATACAAACTAATAATACTTCCTAACATTAAACTGTACAAAATAAAAATAAATATAATCGACCAATCAACCAATGACGTGTTCAAAATTCATTGTAACGTTTCCCTTATCAAGAATATACAACAAAAAGTAATAATAATTATTCTACCTTACGTTATATAATGTGTTAATTGAAAATAAGTAAGTCACTGATTCTACATTTACAAAGTTTAATAATAAAAATTGATCAGGATTATAAAGTAATATATATACAAACTAATAATACTTCCTAACATTAAACTGTACAAAATAAAAATAAATATAATCAACAAATCAACCAATGACGTGTTCAAAATTCATTGTAACGTTTCTCTTATCAAGAATATACAACCAAAAAGTAATAACAATTATTCTACCTTACATTATACACAATGTATTAAGTGAAAAATAGTATGTGACTGATTCTTACTTCCTGACAGTTTGGATTAGAATTAATAGAGTGTGTACTCTTGTAGTCATGTGCAGAGCTAGGCTACGGGAAAGTAAATCTCAACAGTAGAGAGATAGAAAGAGAAAAAAAGAAGATAGAAGAAATAGAAGAAGTAGAAGAAGAAGAAGAAGAAGAGAGAAAGAGATAAATAAAGAAAGAAATAAAGAGAGAGAAAGATTCGATATACATCGTGGCATCTGTTAGGAACGAAGAGAACCGAGGTTAAAGACCGAGAGCTAGCGAACCGAATTAGAAAGGTGCTCTCGAATGACCTTTGAACTCTCTATCTCCATCTTTCGATCTGCCAGCAGCCCCCGCCCCCTCCTCCACCTCCTTCACCTCTTATTCCTCAACTCAACTCAACCCAACTCAACTAAACTCAACTCAAGTTGCAAGATGCAACTTAAAACTATCCCTATCTCCATCCAATCGTCTTTAAAAGTTAAAACCCACAGTTAGATTTATGTAATAGGTGTTTTATAAGTTCCTTTACCTTTTAAGACTGGCATGCTTTGCACCGTTGAGAATTTTGTTCTTCCGATCGCTACCAACTGTACTAGCATCACTGTCGATACTATACAAACTGTCGTCCTTCGTGACCCTAGTCGAATTGTGTAGGGTTGATTTTTTTGCAACCAAAGTACCATTGTGTTTCGGACTTTCCGAAGACAAGGAGTGTTGAATCTGTTGTTGTTGTTGTTGTTGTTGATGATGTTGAAATTGAGATTGAGATTGATAATAACGATCCATCGAACTTGGTTGTTGTTGTTGATGATGATGATCTTCAATTTTATTAGACACTATCATCGTTCTAATACTTCCGTCTACAAATTTTTTCGGTGATGTCGATATTGCTATAGTTGAGGCCGTTGTTTTTTGCCGAATTGTTTGTGGTAATTGTTGTTGTTGATGATGGTGTTGTTGTTGTTGTTGTTGTAAGTGTTGTTGTTGTTGTTGTTGTTGTTGATATTGGTCTCGTGGATTTTTGTGAAGCCTGCTGCTGCTTGTGTTCCGATAATTTCCTTGGGTTTTTTGATGATTTTGATTCGGTTCTCCAGGCGGTGGTTTGTCCTCCGTTGGTAACATGTACGACAACATTGTCCTTTGGACTTTCGTCTATTAACAAAAATATATATGATTTTTAATTTTTTAAATCAGATTGACTAACATTTTTAAAGAAATTTTTTATTTGAGATTAAATAATTGAAATCGTAATATTGTTAGATTCACATTTAATGGAATATAAAATATTTTGCAAATATTTATCTCCAATGGTTGTTTCGGATTTTTATTTAATTTTATTTTTAATTTCGATAAATAATATTACACATTGTAAACAAATAAGAAAATTTATTTTCCGGTTAGATAATTTTTTTATCATCAACTTGCAATATTTCTTGTATAGAAAATAAAATTAAGTCTTTCAACATATTTCAATTCTTAATAATATTCAAACTTTTAACTTTGTGTTGTAACAAAACATAATAATTTTTTTATCATCAAATTGCAATATTTCTTGTATAGAAAATAAAATTAAGTCTTTCAACATATTTCAATTCTTAATAATATTCAAATTTTTAACTTTGTGTTATAACAAAACTTTTTCTTATTATATTATTTTTAATCAAGTATCATATTATTAAAGCATATATTGTTGCAGTTATTTATAGATTGTTAACAATATAATACAAATTGACGACAATAAATTTCTTTCAACATCCAACATCTTTTTCATTTTGGCATCGTTACAGTTAAGACAAAGTTTTAGTCTCATACATAGATTAATAAAACGTAAGTTTAGATACATACACATATATATATATACGATTATAAGTTTGTAAGTCTCGCCAAGTTGAATACGAGCACTTCATGTTAAATGCAACTGCATTGTCTAAACTTCGTAATAGTGCATTCGTGCAGTGAAAAGATCGTGCAATGAAAAGGTCGTGACGACAACGTGATTACTATTATTTATATATATCAAATGTTGATCATGTTAACTAGCAAAAACTATTAACTTTCCTATTATACAATTTTATTTTATTTTTTTTTATTTCATCATTTTAATATCAAAGTATAATAATTTATCTACATAGTATAATAGTCAATCAAAAACAAATCAACTTTTGTTTAAAGTATTTGTTTGTCAGGTTATCAAGTCAAGTACTTGAAAAATTGTGATTAAAGTTATACAGGACACCCTATATATAATAAAATAAATATTATATTAATTATATTATATTCTATA